ACTACCAAAAAGCCAAAAATGGACCTGTGGCCCAAGTGATAGAGTGCTTAGCATTAAGGAAAAACTTCAAGGGAAGAGTCCAGGCCTCGAGTTCCAGCCTCAGTACACACACGCACATACACACACAGATTTTCTTTTCCATCAGAGTTCTTTGTTCATCTTGGTTGATTTTGATACTGCACGGGAAATTCTCCTATAAAATCTTTAAGCATAAATAAGAAATAGTAAATGAATATTCTGTTGGTTCTTTTTTAAATGCTTGTTTTTAGGTATTTCTAAAATTATTGTGTAATGGCTTAGTTTTTTAAATCAGTACCTATACCTTTAAAGCATTGGCCTCTAGACCACTACAAGTTGGCAGGGATATGAAATAAGCAAAAGAGAAAAATGAATAATAAGCCAGGTAGCAGTGTGGCTCACACCTGTAATCTAGCTCCTTAGGTGGCTGAGATATGAGGATTATTTTTCAAAGCCAGCCTGGGCAGGCAAGTCCAGGAGACTCTTATCTCTAGTTAACCACCAGAAAACCAGAAGTAGATCTATAAATCAAAGTGGTTGAGCATTAGCCTTGAGTGAAAGAGCTCAGGGACAACACCCAAGCCCAGTGTTCAGGCCCTACAACAGATAGATAGATAGATAGATAGATAGATAGATAGATAGATAGATAGATAGATAGATAGATAGATAGATAGATAGATAGATAGATAGATAGATAGATAGATAGATAGATAGATAGATAGATAGATAGATAGATAGATAGATAGATCAGAATAATCAAGCCCTACTTTAAATCAAGATTTATTTTTTCTTAAACATGAGCAACTATTATCATGAGCTTTCAAAATACTTTTTATGAATTGTTTGAGCTGTAGATTCAAAATGAACCAATGTATTTTTTAAAGTAATTGAATGAAACTATTGCCTTTTTGCCACACCCAAGATAGCCCCTGTAGTCCAAATACCTAATAGCTATCACACCAGTTCCAATCTGAAAGAATCACACACTAATGAAATAATAGTTTTTAAACATCCTGCATAGAAAACTGGTGCTCAATGTACTTTAGTTGTACAACAGTTCTTGCAATTGGAAGAATTGTCCTGAGTTTGCCTTTCAGGAATTGCTTCTATTACGGCACTTTCCCTTTGGTCTCCCAGTACCTTCCTAAGGCACTCTCTAGGAGACTCACTCAGAGCTAATCTAGATAGAAATTGTCCTCCAGAGTTAGAAGAACTTAGTGTAGTGTAAAAGTATTCTACAAGCCTGTCATCTACCTAGGCCAAACCTTTATCTTTCTGCTTTGGCATCTTTGGAGTTTATGAACTTTCTGTAGAGTAAGGGGAATTTTTAAGATTTAGAAATATGGGACTAATAAGTATTTAATTTTTTTTCATTCTCTTGAAAAATACCCTAAAACTGTCCTCTTTCTGATTTTTTATATTTACTTGTTAGCAGTGGAACAGGTGTGAAGTTGATTCTGTTCTCATGAAGATAGAAAGGAAAGCTTTCCTGTAAAAGGGCTAATAAATCCTAGGCTTTCTTTGTTGAATTTATTACCAGAATACAGTAGATCTCAAAGGCATGGTTACTAAGAGAAAGCATTACAGGAGTTGTAACATTTGGTCTTAGAAGACATAGTCACTGACAAATCAAGAAGGCAAAAAGATGCCAGGTGTAGGGATTTGGATAAGCAGGGGCATGCAAGGGTGACCTTGTATATTTGAGGAACTGAGTGAGTGAGCGTGGCTATTGTGAGTAGCATACTCAGGCTTGCTGTAAAAGATGAGGTAAGTTCCTGAACTGAATGATATAGCATCTTTCTTGATCATGCTGGGGAAATTGGAGTTTTATATTTTAAAATAGTAACTTTCAAACTTATTTCACAAGTCTTTTGTGGATGTTCAGCCCGTTAAACAGATAACCCTGTGCATAGCTCTTGTATGTAACAGAGAATACGAGATCACATTGCATCTCTACTGTACAATAGCCTCTGAAAAGGGTCCACACAGCCCTCAGGCTCTAAAAAGTTACAAACTCCTTCTGATAGGACCATTGAGCAGTCTTAGGGATGGGCAGAGTGGCTTATGTCTGTAATCTTACTACTGGATTCATGGAAGAAGAATCTGATCATGGTCCCAGACAGATTTCAGGCCAAAAGTATGAGACCCTATCTGAAAAATATCTAAATAGGGGGTGGCTTGAAGGGCATGCCTCAAGTGTACCTGTATAGCAAGCATAAGCCCTGAGTTCAAACCCTAACAATGCACAAAACCCCATAAAGTCTTAAGACCAGGAACCACACACTCACATATGGCCTGCTCAGGAGCTCATAGAAGGCAGAGACTAGGTAGAAGGTGGTCACTAAGGAGACAGCAACAGTGGGGGAAGCACTTCCCAGAAAACAAAGTAGAAAAGTTGTGTCCACAAGTTCAGAGCTGGAGGGGAAGTAGTCTGAAATGGCTCCCATGTTTCCGCCTTTGATGGTGGATAGATGATGGAGTGATCATCAAGTAACGGCAGCAGTAATGCCATGCTGATGTTGCATCATGCTTTATAGTTGATGTTGTGCCTCCGTGTACGTACGTCACCCATGCATTCCCTGTCAGCCATGCTTACGTAGCCAGACTTCTATCAGCCTTCATTCTCATTGTTCCTCTTAAGCATTGACTTTGAACACTAAGCTTCCTTTTGAAAACAATGCATGCTCCTGTGATCTCCTTGACATCTGATCCTATATATATATTTCTTTAGTTTTTCCATGTAGGTATTCCTCAAATATCTGAACCTGCTACCTCTGCTCACTCTTGTTCCTATGTGCTTTATTGTAATGTCGGTTCTCTCACCAAAGAGCCTTCTCTCATGCACCTTGTCCTATTTTCAGAACTTCAGTACTTTTAAAATATCCAGTAGATATCATTGACTGTGTGTTCAACGAACTCTGGGGATTGAACTGATAATCAGATCATCCTTCTCAATGACCTTACTTTCAGTTCCTGTTGGTGGATTCTATTCATTGCCTTCAGAGTATCATTTACACATATGACTTCCTATTTGCTTCCAGCTATTCCAGTATGAACTCATCCTGAACTTTTTTGCTGAAGGCTAGTGCTTTACCACTTGAGCTACAGATCCACTTCCAGCTTTGTTTTTCTTGTTCCTAATTGGAGACCCAGGCTGGCTTTGAACCTTCATCCTCAGATCTTGGCCTGAGTAGCTAGGATTACAGACATGAGCCATGGGCAGCTGCCTGGTATTGCCTCTTATCTACATCTCAGTAACCCCTAACTTTTCCCTTCTCCTTTAGTATCTGTTATCTTCCCATATCCACTTATCATTCATATTCCTGCCAGTATAATCTTCCTAACATGTACCCCAGACATTTTCTTCTCTATTTCCTAGAAGTATCAGTACATCTTGTCTACCAGTATATTAAAGACCATATTTCTTCTGGAATTCAGATATCATGGGATCTGAATATAGCTTTACTAAACTTGCTTTGTACCGTTCCCCATTTATACCCTAGTTTTCAGACCAGTTAAATCTTAAGTCTTTGGTTCTTATCTTCTTCCTTTGCCCCACCTCCATGTGTTTGTCATCTAACCCTTCATCCTGGACCTTCACCATTCCCAGTTCCAAATATTACAAATAAACTTGAAAGTGAAGTAATCTGAATTTCTTTCAAACTTTTGTGCTGTGTCATCTATCTGTGGTACTAATGGTTATTCCTATAGTCATTTTTGCCCTTATCATTGTATATTTTGTGCTTAGTTAACATATGTAAAACGAAATAATCTAGTTTTTTAACAGCTTGGTCATGTAGGCAGGGCAAGTAACATTAGCTCCTTTTGAAAGGCTAGCGAGCAGTCTCAAGGAGTTTGGGAGGCTGCCCGAGGCCATTGCTCTACAGTGTCAAAACTCCAGGTAAAGGGCTGGGAAGGTGGCTCAGTGGTAGAGCGCTTGCCTTGCATGCCTGAAGCCCTGGGTTCGATTCCCCAGCACCACATAAGCAAAAAGAAAAAAAGCCGGAGCCAGGCGCTGGTGGCTCACGCCTGTAATCCTAGCTACTCAGGAGGCTGAGATCTGAGGATCGTGGTTCAAAGCCAGCCCGGGCAGGAGAGACTGTGAGACTCCTATCTCCAATAAACCACCAGAAAACTGGAAGTGGTGCTGTAGCTCAAGTGGTAGAGTGCTCACCTTGAGCTGAAGAGCTGAGGGACAGCGCCCAGGCCCAGAGTTCAAGCCCCACGACCGACAAAAAAAAAAGAAAAAAGAAAAAAAGCCGGAAGTGGCGCTGTGGCTCAAGTGGTAGAGCGCTAGCCTTGAGCTGAAGAGCTGAGGGACAGCGCCCAGGCCCAGAGTTCAGGCCCCACGACTGACAAAAAAAAAAAAAACTCCAGGTAAAGCACCCCTTTTCAGATGTCTAAGCCAAATGTGTATTACATTCGATCATGCTGCCTCTTCAAGTAGGTGACATTGACACAAAGTAGAACTTAGAAGCAGGATATGAACTGTCCATAGAACTAAAATTTGTTACAAAAATGCTAAAAGATTCTTCCTATCTTTTCTGAGAATCATAGTTATATAATAACCCATCTCTTGATTGTTTTGAGGTAGGTGTGTGTGTGTGTGTGTGTGTGTGTGTGTGTGTGTGTGAGAGAGAGAGAGAGAGAGAGAGAGAACACAGCTAACATGATGGATATAGAAATATAAAACAGTATTTACTTGTGTTAGAAACTGAATTAAGGAAGCAAGAGAAGACAAACTAGAAATAATCAGCAAAGTCCAGATCCTGAAGTTAGGACATGAATCAGTTTATACATCTGCTGTCACTGATTGCCACTCATAAACACACACAGATTGGCAAAATCCTTGAAAAGTTACTGCTTTACTCTAAACCCTCAATAATTCTCTGTCTTTTCCAGAAGTCATGTCTGAAACATTGTTTCTGTCTGTTAGTCTTTGATACAAACATTGCACTAATACTTCTTTCTTCCTTTCCCAGAGGAAGAAGAAGAGCAGGTGCCTACTGATGGGGGTACATCAGCTGAAGCCATGCAGGTTCCCTTGGAGGAAGATGACGAACTGGAAGAGGAGGAAATCATTAATGATGAGAACTTCTTGGGCAAGAGGCCACTGGACAGTCCTGAAGCTGAAGAAATGCCGGCCATGAAGCGACCACGACTGTTAAGCACTAAAGGGGACACACTAGATGTAGTATTATTGGAAGCTCGAGAGCCTCTCAGCTCAATAAATACACAAAAGATCCCACCAATGCTTTCCCCAGTCCACGTGCAAGACAGTACAGACCTAGCACCTCCTTCACCAGAGCCACCAATGTTAGCTCCAGTGGCAAAATCCCAAATACCAACTGCAAAACCATTAGAAACAAAGACATTCCCACCTAAAGCAAAGACTAAAACGACTTCTCCAGGACAGAAAAGTAAATCACCTAAAACCACCCCTTCACCAGCAATGGTCGGAAGTCCTATTCGGTCACCAAGACCTGTTTCCAAAGAAAAAAAATCACCTGGACGTTCTAAGAGCCCCAAAAGCCCCAAGAGCCCCAAGATTACCACTCATATTCCCCAACCACCTGTCAGACCTGACACACCAAATAGGACTCCTTCAGCTCCAGTAAGTGAAAAACTTAGTAAAGAAATCATCCAGGTAAAACAAACACCACCTCCCCCCGACACTGGGAAACTGAATAATGACACTCAGCCAAGAAAGGCTTTGGTAACAGATAAAACTATCGATGACTCTATAGATGCCGTGATTGCCCGAGCCTGTGCTGAACGCGAGCCAGATCCTTTTGAATTTTCTTCTGGATCTGAATCTGAAGGAGACATTTTTATGAGCCCTAAGAGAATTTCAGGTTCAGAGTGTACCACTCCCAAAGCATCCACTTCCTCAAACAATTTCACTAAGGCAGGATCCACTCCTCTGCCTCTTTCAGGTGGAACTTCTAGTTCTGATAACTCATGGACGATGGATGCCTCCATCGATGAGGTTGTACGCAAGGCAAAACTGGGAACACCTTCCAATATGCCTCCTGGCTTTCCTTACATCTCCTCTCCTTCAGTTTCTCCTCCCACTCCTGAACCTCTCCACAAAGTGTATGAAGACAAAACCAAGACACCCTCATCAGTGGAAGTAAAAAAGAAGCTGAAGAAAGAGCTGAAGACTAAATTGAAAAAGAAGGAAAAGCAGAGAGATAAAGAGAGGGAAAAAGATAGAAGCAAAGAAAAAAGTAAAGACAAGGATAAGGTGAAAGAGAAGGAGAAAGAGAAAGAAGCTGGCAAGGAAACAAAGTACCCATGGAAGGAGTTCCTTAAAGATGAAGATTCGGATCCCTATAAGTTTAAAATAAAAGAATTTGAAGATGTTGATCCAAAAGTGAGATTGAAAGATGGAATTGTGCGGAAGGAGAAAGAAAAGCATAAAGACAAGAAGAAAGATAGAGAAAAGGGCAAACGAGATAAGGAGAAGAGAGAAAAAGAAAAAGCAAAGGATAAAGGGAGAGAAGATAAGACAAAGGCTCCACCCACACCACTGGTATTGCCCCCGAAAGAGATGGTACTACCCCTATTCAGCCCTGCTACAGTGAGGGGCCCCTCCATGCTGCCTGCCCTGTCGCCAATGCTCCCAGAAAAACTGTTTGAGGAGAAGGAGAAACCTAAGGAGAAAGAAAGGAAAAAAGACAAAAAGGAGAAGAAGAAAAAGAAAGAGAAAGAGAAGGAAAAGGAGAAGAAAGAAAAGGAAAGGGAGAAAGAGAAAAGAGAGAGAGAGAGGAGAGAAAAAGAAAAGGAGAAACACAAGCATGAAAAAGTAAGCAGTTTATCATTTTCGGGACTATCTGAACAAAGTCCTAGTGAAAAATGCAGGTAAACAAAGCCAGCAATTATATCTGTATTTTAGATGTAAATCACCCAGAACTGGGGAGATATTTGTAATGAGGTTACAAAGTTTAATTTTAATTCTGATACCCATAAAGTTGTTCAGACCCACTGGATGGCCAAAGTCCATTGACTAATATTTTTATTCAGTATCAAGTCTACTTCATAATATTTTATATAGACGGTTAGATAAGTGAGAAAGACAGCAGCCATGTCTTTAAGATTATGGAGAACATCCCTTCCCTATGAGGTTAGTGAGACCAGCGGAGGGACTGCTAGTTCACAGGTTTTCCTTTAAGGACTTTTGGTATTTCGTTAACTTGTGTCTGTCTGTAGTACTTTCCATTAATATCACCTATTCCTTTCACTTTCACTTTAACAAATTAGAACTTACTGCTGAATATCTCAACTGAAAATTTAAGCTGATCCAGCAATGTGGTTGATAGAAAGTAATTCCACAGAGCAGAAATGTTTTATCATGTCAGAAAATCCGGTTTTTACAGAGTTCATCCAGAGAACAGTTAGATTATTTCCAGAGAAACTAGGTAGATGCTGCACTTTGTAGGATCTAAAGCCATGATCCTGCAGGCAAAACAGGTCGCCTCCAAGGTCTTGAAGTTATTATAGTAATCGAGTGGCCAATTGACCCATTGCCTTTAAACCTCTAAACAAAAGTAGCTTGGTATTAATAAAAGTCTGTCTATCTTTGACCTATAGCAAATAGATTGCTGCTAATTTTGCAATGGCTTTTGGAGCAATAGTAGGATTTGAATTCAGCTTTATACTTCCTAGACAGGAGTTCTACCACTTGATCCATACCCCCAGTTGTTCCTACACCATAGTCATCCTATGATAGGCATATGTCATTTTACCCAGCTTATTGGTTGAGATGGAGGCTCACAAACTTTATCTACTTGGACTGGACTCAAACCATGATCCTCCTAATAGCAGCCTCCCAATTAGCTACATTTATAGGCATGAGCCACTGCTCCTACTGCTCCCAGCTATAATATTTTAAACTTCAAACTTACTTAGAAATATGAGTTTGGCCGACAACAATAAGGACAGCTGTCACATTTTTCTGCCTAACTTTATTCTTTGTCTCCCTTGGCTAGTTTTAAATGCAAAGAAGTTAAGCCAGAGCTAGGTGCTGGTGGTTCACACCTCTAATCCTAGCTACACAGGAGACTAAGATCTCAGGATCTCAGTTCAAAGCCAACCCACAGACAGGAAAGTCTATAAGACTCTTACTTCCAATTAGCCACCAGAAAACTATAAGTGGATCTGTGGCTCAGAGTGGTAGAGTGCTACCAAAATAGTTCAGGGACAGTGCCCTGGCCCATAACTGACAAGAAGAAAAATAAATGAATAAATAAAGGCACATGGCTCACACCTGGGGCTCTAGCTCCTCAGGAGATGGAAATTGGAAGGACTGTAATTTACAAGCTAGCCCAGGCATGCAGAGAGACCCTAGTCTCAACCAGTAAAAAGCTAGTTATGGTGGTACATACTTGTTATCCCGGCTATACTGGAGGTATAACTGAACTGACAAGTTATGGGCACTGAAACCCAACTCTTAGTTGTATTTCTGAAACCATTTTATCATAATTTTTTATGGTATTTATCTGGTTTTAAAGCACTTCCACACAGATCTAGCATGTGTTTCTAATATTTATGAATAAGGAGTTGGACCTGAGAATTGTCCGAAATCAAGGTCAAGAAACCAGTCACGGGGCTGGGAAGGTGGCTCAGTGGTAGAGCGCTTGCCTTGCATGCATGAGGTCCTGGGTTCGATTCCTCAACACCACATAAGCAGGAAAAAAAAAAAGCCAGAAGTGGCACTGTGGCTCAAGTGGTAGAGTGCTAGACTTGAGCTGAAAAGCTGAGGGACAGCACCCAGGCCCAGAATTCAGGCCCCACGACTGGACCCCCCCCCAAAAAAAAAAGAAACCAGTCACTTATAGTTCACCTGTTGAAGTGTTTGTTAGAGACATTGTCTGTCAGCAATTAGTTACTATCCATCTTGTTCCTAATAACTTGGCAACTGGTCCCTTAACAAACCAAATGTGCCGTTATTGCTTTCATCACCATCTTACCTTTGCAAAGGCACCGGCATCATTTCAACAGTGGTTGTGAATGTGAGAGAAGCACATCAGATTAGGTTCATAATAGCAGTCCATGTTTTCCACAGCAGCCTCCTGACATCAAAACAGAAAAGTCCTTCGTATTATCTGGAGGAGGCAAAAGCTCCATTAACAGTAGCCCAGATTTCACCTGACAAAAGGAATACAAGCCTTTGCATCTGTTTTAATAGGCTGTGGATCAGAGAAATGACAAAAGATAGCTGTTTATCCAAGTCAGCTATCTTACAAGTCCCACTAATTATACCTCAATTCAGATCCTGACTTTTGAGAAATCGGGTACATTGCTTACATGAGGATTAAGTGAGTTACATATAAGTAAGATGTGCAAGTACTGTGTCCAGCACAATAGTAAATGGTGGTAGTGGAACTAACCTATAAAATTGTAGAGAGCTAGAGTTTGGTATTTCCTTAGACTCTTAGGCAACAGGTGAATCAACTGTGACTCTAAAGAAATTGTTTCTACTTTCCTTTAACGTGTAGTCCTTATACCAATAGGTAGGGAAAAAAATAAGTGTTACCACAGAAATACTATACAAACATGATGACTTTTTTTTCAACAAGTATAAAGTAGAGGAGGTAATTGAAAGTATCAAGTGTCAAGCAGAGGAGGTAATTGAAAGCATACCTCAAATGGAGTCACACATGATCTATGAATTTTTTTTTAATGAATTCATAGAAGAAGGGAAAAATTTAAACCCTCTCTACCTCTATAAAAATTTTGCCGGATATGTCCACATTTATCAATTCCGACACTAATACAGATATCATAGGTAAACAGCAGTTTGCTTGGTGAGCAGAAGGACCTTTGAGCTGTAGATTGGTTTCAGCAGAAGATCTAGAACATGATTTGTTTTTTTTTAAGCTTCTTTAATATATAGGTGTTTTGTCTTTTAAAGTAGATCATGATCATGGTACTAGTAAAAATAACAATATAGTAATAGCTAATTAACATTGAGCAACTACTGTGGACTGAATACCAGGCTGAGTCCTTACTATAACCTTCTAGGGTAGATATAGAAATGATTATCACTCAAGATGAAAAGCAGGAAGTGGTGCTGTGGCTCAAGCGGTAGAGCGCTCACCTTGAGCTGAAGAGCGCAATTTATGTAGGCAAGTTTTTACTTCCTTTTTTTGAGCAGTAATATGAATTAGTTGAGCTTGAGAATCTACTTAGTCACTTATTTAAAATGGAACCAAACTAACTTGTTAAGAAAAATGACTAAAATCAATTATGGTGACCATATAGAAACAGTCTAATCGCTTAATCAGTAACCAACCTAATAGTATATTACAGGGTAGTTTAAAATTTCTATTAAAAGGTTTATTTCTGTACAACTCAGTGTTTGTAATGCACTACTTAAGTCCTTTTAAACCATGAGTCTTTGGTGTTTAAATGAATGGAGGAACAGGATTATTTTAACCAAAATTTATTGTTGATATTTTAAGTTTTTTCTTGAGGAAGGATCATTGTGGGGGAAAAAGTAAACATCTTGTTACTTATGTCAGTGGATTAGACAGTTGTGCCTATAATCTTTTACTTCCTTTGTGTGTATATGTGGTGTTAGGGATCAAATTCAGGCTCTCTCACTTGCTGGACAAGCAAAATACCACTATGTTGTCCCCCCAACTCTACCTATAATCTTACAAAATCTACTTTTTGTATTTTGAACACATACTTATTTGGATTTGATCTAGATGGCACTGGACAATGTGCCCAAAATGATGATATCATCATGCATAAGTAAATAGGCAAAAGTCGGGCCCACAGTCAGCATGCAGCATGAACTCCAGCAATCACACTGTCCTGGTGCAAATTCCAGCTTAACCACTACTTCATTATCATAGCCCTCTCTTAATCCATCAGACCTCTGTCCACTTTCCTGTGTTTCAGACTCATTCATAGTAGAAGACAACATCCTTATAATTTACCCTTGTTTATAAACAATAGTTTTATTCTTTCTCTCATATGTATGTTAGTGAAAATGTCTTTGTTCTGCCTTCTCATAGAAAACACTGAGATGACTAGTCTATATCATAAAAGATGATTGACAATTTAAAATTTTCTTACATAAAACCAATGATGCTAATAAGCAACCTGTGAATAATGACAAGATGTATATAGTTGAAAGCCCATAGACTTTATAAAGGATTCTCAAAATTGTACCATTCTGATAGCTGAATTGTTTCATTTGCATTAACATTGCCTATTGAATGAACTAACCTGGATAGGAAATAATAATTAGGAACTATCATTTACTGACTACATTCAAAGCCAGACATGGCCAAAGCTCCATTATTTACTCCTCCAAACAGCTATGTGGGTTTGGTGTTGCTGTCCTATTTTGCACAGAAAGGTTGAGTGACTGCCACAGCAGTGAGAGTAGCCAGTGGCTTGGCCAGGTCCTGTGACTGAAGTCAGGGTTCTGTGTCGTCTCTCACAGCCTTCTCAGGCCAGACACTATCACTGTGGCATGTCCACATAACAAGACACTAGCAAGCTGGGAAAGAAGAGTTAACATACAGGAATAAGGAGAGAGCCATCAAAACTTGATAAAATGTCAAGTCCTGGAAGGAACCTTGGAGAGCTCCCACTCTGTGTTGAAGAACAGAAAAGAGATGCCCTTAAAGCTCTGCTGACTTCAGTCATCTGAACAATTAAAGCCTTATCCCCAAATCATCTTTCATTGAATTTAAACAGTTTATTCTTCAGTAGCCTCACTGGTTTGTCCCTTTAACAAAAGGACAAACAGTAGGCTCATTTCTAGTCTTCTCTCCTCACCCCTCCTAA